GTTTGGTTTTTAACTGCAGATAGAACTTAGAATGATCTACAGTAATGACCTGTAAGCAATGATTTTATTAATTAGAGAATTTATTCAAATTAGTAAAGGAGCGAAATATCATTCCCTAGGTTGCATTTAAAGAAATAGTTTTTCGATGATGAGTGAGTAGTATGTGAAAGTCACAATAATTTGTAAATATCTAGCATATATTAAATAAAGACATGCTATGCTGACCTGACTGCGGGTTAAAAAAAAAAAAAAGATAAGACATTCGATAGTGACAAACTGCTGGCAATAAAGTAATGGACTAGAAGGGTTTTTATTCAAAGTCTGCTATAAAGCAAAATATTGTTCCCAAGGTCAAACTTAGAGGCTATTATTGTTTATGCCAAGTTAATTAGATTTGAAATTAATATTTAGCTGTAATATGTATCATGCTGCTCAAGTGAAAATGTACTTATGTTTTCAGTTAATTAATAAACTACAATATAGCCTGGCTGCGGGTATACAAAAAAAAAAAAAACTAATATATTCATATTTTCAAATCAAATTGAAATAAATAAAATCTCTTAGAAAAATAAAAAATAAATTGATTATATATCAAAAAATAAATTAATATCTATTGAATTTTCTTGAAGATAACATTGCACCATATTGTAATTTTGTCACAAGTATTAATTTTATATCAAATATATAAATTTTATAAAAATTCCGAGTTTACGAATTTAAAAGAAAACTCCAAGTTATTCAAAAAATCTTTTTTTTTTAAGAAAAAAAAATAAAGCTTTTTAAAATAACCAATACGAAATGTCATTTTTATTAATGATTAACACTTCTTTGATCGATTAAGAGTTCAAGGCATTAAGATATTAAATATGTAATATTCTTTATTTTATACTCACCATTTTAGATGGTTATGGTACAAGTAGTTCATACATAAAATGCAATTTCACGCGAGTCGAAGAATCTTATCACAACATATAACCATATAACCGAAATCCACTGAATTTTCTTATAATTTGGTAATTTATAGGACATGATTCATAAAGGGCTACTGGTAATATTTTAAATTTCTTTTTTTGTTCTTGTTTTTTTTTGAAAAAGTCACATACCTGAATAATTTTATTTGTAATTTTTTCGATATTGAACCGGACGAAACTTGAATGCTGTGACATTCACTCAGGCAAATCTCACAACACTTTTATTTATCAATCGCATGACGAACGATCATCATCACATTCATTATCTAGGTCTCACCTTTTTATTTTCGCGAATCCAAATTCCCCAAAGCCACATTCTTCATTGAATTCAAGAATTTGCTCACAGCTAAAATATAACACTAACGATAGTGAAGTAAATGTTTATGAAAGACGGTAATTTATTTTATTACTCCACATACTCGCCTTCTTCCGCGCTCGAATCTGCATGTTTGCTAACTTCCATTAATTGAGGTTCATCTTGTTTTGGTGATTGAATTTTAAGATTTTTAAAAGATTCATTAGGTTGAGGTGAATTATGTCTAAAATGTTCTTCAGATTTCGGGGAGTAAGATTTATGATCCTGGGATTTGGGCGATCGTGATTGACGTGATACATGTTCCCGTTTCGGCTCAGATAATCTGTCGTGTTCTTGATATTTGGATTCTGCATATTTTTCATATTTGGCTTTCGACTAAAGATGTTGAACACTATAAATTTGAATAAAAAATACTGGTATAATGCTGTAGCAAGATATAAATCTTCTTGTTCTATATTACCTTTCGTCGCTTTCGCCTTTCACTACCATCTCTATCTTTGTCAGAATAATCACCACTGTCGGCGGAGTAATCCGAATAATGATGTGACCGCCGGTGATGATATCGATGGCTCTTGTGTTTCCTCTTGCGGTCTGATGATACGTGTTTATCTTCTTCAAGATCATCATCTTTAATCGTTCCCTCTTCCTCTTCACTATCCTCACCACCTTTTCTAAGGAGCTTTTCCTAAATGCATTTTTTTTTTTTCATTAAGATGTCATGCAATCATTACAAAAACACATACGTATATAATTTATATATACAATATGGTCAATAAATGAAAACTCACTTTAACACGATCCATAAATTTATTAAAAACTTCAATGCGCTGTTCTTCCGACTCTATGGCATGGAACTCCTCGGTTTTCTCAACTACCGGACGCACCTGCGGCAAAGTCAAAAATAGACATCATTATTAAATGTATGCGGTCAAATCACGCGTCCGGGTTTGAAATAATATTATAGGAAAATTGACCTGTTCCCAAGTTGCTTCGGGCGTGATCATTGTCTCGAAATTCTTAAAAACAGATTTGAAAGCGTCCAATTTTCTACGATGTCGCCTTTCTTGTTTCCTTAGGAGCTAGAAAATTTATAATCAACATATTATTCGCGTACTTAAAAAAAAGTGTTCGGATCGAGCATTGAATACTTTTTCCCACCTGTTCAAAGATAATCTTCAGATTCACTTCGTTTACCGAAGCGACGCGTTCATCTGAGAAAAGTGTGGATTGAAATTGTTCAAAAGTAACTGCCGAATTTAATGTGAAGTCCCTTGCCTAAAAATTCATCCGCCGACAACTTTAGAAAAAAAATAAATATTTTTCGAGCGCACGAAAGAAAGAAAGAACGTTACCTTCATAACTTCCGACAAAATTTTACGCTGTTGATACAAAATCTCGTCAAGTTCTTCAACAACATCCCAAAACAATTCCAACGGATTGGATCCGGTTTGTCCAAGCATGTTTTGATAACGCTCGTCATCATGAATGATCGGATAAATTTCTTTCCATTTTGATTTGGCGGTGATCACATTATTCTGTCGCAACTCATCCATCAAAGATCTATAGGAATCCCTATTCTTGCGTTGCTGCCTAGTTTGCTCTTCGACTTCTTTTTTCTTTCTCTCGGCCGTCTCCCGTTCCAAAGATCGGATGTGTTCCTCATAAACTGCCAAAAAATCTAGCATGTCCATTTCCTGAAGTGTTTTGTCATTCTGATATTCGGGGGTATTCGTGTATACACTTTGCGCTTCGGTCCATCGTGTGGACTCGGTAATACTCGGGAGGGATTTTAAAAGGTGACTAAATTTTTCCATGTTCTCTTTACGAACCGCTCGTTGAATTTCCTAAAGACATAAAGTTTAAATGAATTCTGGTAAACACAAATTTAATCGACGAATGTAACCCACCTTCTCTTGTTTCCGCAGGTCATAAATGTATTCGCTAAAGATGTCTTCACGCATTCTATCGTCTTCAATTGCCATGAATGCCGGCTCTTCGCCAAGGATCTCACACACTTTTCTAATAAAAAAGTATACGCATAATAATAAATATAAATAAGTAAGTAATTGGCTTTATTATCGTTTTCAAAGTATCAAATGAAAATTACCTGTAGCGCGTTGATGAATTGACTTCCGGGTGCGATTCTAATAATGAGATAAAGTCTTGACGAATTTTTATGGTCTTGGCCTTTTTTTCCTCCTGTGCGCGCAAATTAAGAAAGAAAATTTCATGAAAATCTTTTTTCACTTTTTTTTTTTTTCATTCTCTATATCTCTAACAACATCGAGATTTTATGTAGGGCCTCTAACCTCCTCCTTTTTACGCAATTCGTCCACATAATCGTGAAATGCCTGCTTACGTTCCGTTAGAGTCTTGATTGCTCGATACATGGGGTTGGAAATTATTGCTCTCATAGTTTGTTCCCAGGACCAATCTGGCTTGACACCCTGTGAGGAAAAATATATTCGGATTTCAATTAATTAGAATAGGTGTAATGAGGTGTAAGACAAAGTATTTCAACCTACCGAATCTTTAAGCAACTTCCTAAACGCAGCCACAGCCTCTTCTTTGGTCTCAAATTCGATCCTTGGTTGTTCGGGTTGTTGAGTGGGCAGAATTGGCACGTGAGGTCTGACCGGGGTCGTTACCGGAGTCACATTCACAGGACTAACTGCCGGTACACTAAGCTGACGTGCTCGTTCGAAATCTTGTTGACTCGGAGAGACAACCGTCTGAGTGGTTGATTCACTATTCCTAAGTTGGGTCAAAGGTAAATTAAGAGGAAATATCAAATATCGGCATGGTAAATTTCAAAGATAATACGGACTGAGTTAGTTTTTTTTCCTTCTCAATCTTTTCGAGGAATTCTAGTAAAAAAAAAAAAAAAAAAAAAAAAAAAAGATCAATATTATCATAGTGTTTGTTTTAAAGTAAACTTCAAATTTCTACCTTTATATTCGGGCGGCATCTCCCATTTTGATACTTGAGTAACGGAGTTGTAGTAATATTTACGACCGCCCTCAGCGGTGAATTCTTTCCAAGGACAAGAGCCCAATGCTTTCTGTGAAATTTAAAAACATTTAACGTTCGTCCAAGGTTTTGCCTCATTTTACTCGAGCAAATTTGGGTGAAATACCTCTTCGGGTGTCTTCAATTCGTCGGGCTTATCCCACGTACTCTGTCTGGTCAGAACGTTGTAATAATATGTGCGGCCATCTGGGGAGGTATGCTCGGTCCAAACGCGTGCCTAAGAATGAAATATATTGATATTGTCAACGAAACGAGATTGTAAAAATGAAATTTCGCTCCTAAGCATATTATTGTAGAGGAAAAGGGTGGGGTGTGCACCGGGGGAGAATTTTTAACGATCTAGGTGAAGAAACAGAGAACGCTCGATAACCAGGCTTTAGCCGAAGAGGCCGATCGGAAGGAGGTTATTTTGCGCAAATTTTTCTAAGGGAGTATTCGTCTTCCGGTTACTATTTGATGAACAAACTTACAACAGGAAAGGGAGGCCTTGTTTGACCGTATGGCGGGACGCCTGGGGGAGTCCACGACATTGTCGAATCTCGCGGAAAGAAAAAAAAACCAGCTGACGTTGTCAAGTGTTCACGTTATACATATATTTAAGTATCGCAGTTCCAATTTTGGAAAATTTATTTGACGATGCGTAACTTATTTTTAAAAAATAATTACCAATCAAAATTTTTTAACATAGTAATTAAAAAATCATCATCATCGTAATTTATCGGCATTATCATTGTGTACTTTTTTAATTCCAAAGTTCTATATTAATCATGCGCGTTGCATTCAGCACTTCAATACTTTGGAAATGTGATTCAGATAATCTCAAGATACTTGGAATCTAACCCACAGTTTATAGCCACGATGCGGCCAATCATGTCAAGTTATTAGATATATGCGCTTGAAAGCCGTGATTACCGAATCAAGCAGTACTTGAATAGACGGTCATATGACATTGAAAGAGAATGACTTCAATACAATAATTGATAATCACGATTCCACACTGGTACATACTCGATGCTTTTGAGCATAATTTCAAAAGAATTGCGAAGATTTTTTACAGCACTGACAAACGAGCAAAGTAACAGAGGTATTGGTGAAAGTGACATTGTTGAAAGTGATAACATTAGGCGGGCGATCAGCGGGACAACCGGTTCAAAGACGATGGACCAAGATGTCGAAGAACTTAACATAAATTATGATCACACATTTTCACAAGAAAGCAAATATGTCTATTATAACGAGAATAGGCACAATCATTCTAGAACACAGAGCCAAGAGGAGCTGCCAGTTCAAGACTGGAGAATGAAAGAAAGACTCAAAACGGTGTCGGGAGCCTTGGTCCTATGCTTAAATATCGGCGTCGACCCGCCGGACGTCGTAAAACCAAACCCCTGCGCCAAACTCGAGTGCTGGGTAGATCCCTTTTTCGCGGCTCCATCAAAAGCATTGGATGCCATAGGAAAAAACCTTCAATCCCAGTATGAACAGCTCAGCGTCCGAACTCGCTATAAGCAATACCTTGACCCATCGGTGGACGAGATGAAAAAATTTTGCATGAATTTGAGGAAAAATGCGAAGGAAGAACGTGTTCTATTTCACTACAATGGTCATGGTGTACCGAAGCCCACATCGAGCGGCGAAATTTGGTGTTTCAACAAGCACTTTACGCAATACATTCCGGTGTCTTTGGGCGATTTGCAATCATGGCTTGGTTCACCTTGCATTTATGTCTACGATTGTTCTGCCGCCGGAAATATTCTGGAAAACTTTAAGCGGTTCACGGAACAACGATATCTAGAAGCATCCCGATCGGATTCCAACGCTTCGCCCAACATTCCCGTGAATATTCAGCTGGCCGCCTGCGGTCCTAACGAAACATTGCCCATGCATCCCGATCTACCAGCAGATTTGTTCACGTCGTGTCTAACGTCGCCAATTGAGATTGCGCTGAGATGGTTCGTCTTGCAGAATCCATTGCCGTCTTATCTCACGGTCAGCATGGTGACGAAACTACCGGGACGATTGCAAGATCGTCGTACCCCCTTGGGAGAACTGAATTGGATCTTTACTGCGATCACGGACACCATCGCATGGAATGTACTCCCCCGTGACCTGTTCAAACAATTGTTCCGGCAGGATCTCATGGTGGCCGCATTATTTAGAAATTTTCTGCTGGCAGAAAGAATTATGAGACGTTACCAGTGCAATCCAATGTCACACCCGTCATTGCCCTCAACTCATGATCATCCGATGTGGGATTCCTGGGATTTGGCGGTGGACATGTGCTTGGCACAGTTACCGGCATTGTTGAGTGCAGATAACGTCGGGCAGGAGGCCGAGTATAAACATTCGAGTTTTTTTGATGAACAATTAACCGCATTTCAAGTGTGGCTATCAAAAGGATCGGTGACACAGAAACCGCCTGAACAATTGCCCATAGTGTTACAAGTGCTTCTTAGTCAAGTTCACCGGTCTAGAGCGTTGGGTTTGCTGAGCAAGTATTTGGATTTAGGACCTCGAGCAGTTAGTCTGGCATTATCAATAGGCATATTTCCTTATGTTCTCAAATTACTGCAAAGCCCCGCAGCGGATCTGAAGCCGCCACTGGTGTTCATATGGGCCCGAATTCTGGCAGTGGACAGATCATGTCAGCAGGATCTATTGAGGGACGAAGGTTATACTTACTTTGTCAACATACTTTCTCCAAACAGTAACCTCAACATTCCAAACGAATCAGAACACCGTGCGATGTGCACCTTCATTCTAGCCATACTTTGCACGAACTACAGTCAGGGACAGGTGGCGTGCAGAAAATCGGGAGTGTTACTAGCATGCTTAGCACGACTCGGTGATGACGATCCACTATTGAGACAATGGTCGTGCCTCTGCATAGGTCAATATTGGATGAATCAGCCCGAATCGAAGAGCGAAGGGATCGAGAACCAAGCACACCAGAAGCTTTTCGGACTTTTAAGCGATCCGGTTCCGGAGGTAAGGGCGGCAGCTCTTTATGCCCTTGGCACTTTCATCGGTGATCTAGAACGCACCGAGCAAATTGTCAACATCGAACACAACATCGCCATAAATGCCCTCGATGCTAACAATGACGCATCTCCCATTGTGAGAAGAGAACTCGTGATCGCACTTTCTAACATCGTAAACGCCTACCCCGAACATTTCACACGTGCGGCGTACGAAGAACTCCAAGACATTCACCGACGTATCGCTTCGTCTCGACAGCGTCCCAGGGAGAGTCGACCCACTGTATACACGTGCGTCTGGAAAGCGTTGCTCAATATGTCCGCCGATCCGGACGCTGAAGTTTTGCAACTTTCAGCCACCGTGGTGGACGCCATAAATGATCAATTGCTCGAATCTTCACACGCGGAAAATGTCGCGATCACTTTGCGGCATGTGCTCCACGAACAAAACTCGCAGGAGACGGAAGCTTTCAGGGCATCTTTAAATAGGCCCCTCTCATCGGAAGACGTGCTACCGCTCAAATCCAAATTCTTTGATTGGAGCTGTGAATACTTCCGCGAACCACAAATGAGGGTTCGCATAGATTTCACTTTTATCTGATTCAGTTGAAAAACGTTCACCCGAGATAATCCCTAAAAAATTTGTGATTTTTATAGCAAGCCGAATCCGAACAATTGGGTAGCATCGATAACAACGAAAGGTTGTGGAGACGAAAAAGGAACGAGAGCATCATCAGATCCACACAGCCGCTCAAGGAAGTTGCGGGTGAGCGTCATTGCAAGTAAATAAATTAAATGATCGATGTTCTATTAATTTGTTAAAATATGTGCGTGCAGGGTCGAGTCGATGGAACAAACAGGTGACTCTTCTCAATAACGAGACTGAACCAACAAAATTATTATTCCATCCGTTCGAACCGCACCTTGTGGTTGCAAATGATAAAGACATGATCAGGTAGACTTCGAATGAGAAGACGAAAAAAAATTTTTTGAAGTTAATATTTTGATTTCGATTGGAATCAATTGTGACAAAAATTCTCAACGTAGTGTTTGGAATTGGAAGGAGGGTCCACGTATTCTGCACAACTTTTCCAATGGAAACCCTTCGAGGAGCAAGGTGACCGCATTGAAATTCATAAACGAAGACGAAAATTCGATGCTTCTCACCGGTTCAAGTGAGTTATGCACGTTGTGCTTCGGTTCCTTTGTCTGAAAACAATGTTATCTGATTTATGCTGCATTGTATTCATAAAAAAAAAAAAAAAAAATAGGCGACGGTACCGTGCGGGTATATCGTAATTACAGTTCACCGACGTCATCAGAATTGGTGACATCATGGCGTGCTATGCCTGAGATCTCACCAAATAATCCCAGGAGCGGTCTTGTTGTCGAGTGGCAACAACCCCGAGGCACGCTATTGGTTGGCGGAGATTTCCGAATGATTAGGGTGTGGGACGTACCCAGCGAAATCACCGCGAGCGTGAGTAGCAATCGATGATTTTTATCGTCTACACGTTTCAGCGAATCCTCTTCTCGCATAAGAAATCTTGTCTTTAACTTGTCGCTCACTCTCGAAATTCCATTAGATCATACCAGCAAGGTCGGGAAGCCCCGTGACCAGCATCACGAGCGATGATGGTGATATCTTTGTCGCCGGATTCGCAGATGGTGCGATACGTGCATACGATAGAAGGGTTCAGCCACGTGATGCAATGATATTGACAAGCAAGGAGCATAAGAACGCCGTAGTAAATGTGGTGTGGCAAAAGGGGGCGAAGCATGAATTGGTGTCGGGAAGTAAGTCCGGTGAAATTAGGTTGTGGGACATTCGACAGAGTCGATCGAGGCTCACCATAACGCACGAAGCGGCCGAAATGAAGGCGATGGATGTACATCAAAATGCCGATGTAGTTGCGGGGTAATGTATGGTGACAGTGGTCAGCATTTGAAATGCGGAATGTATTATTAAAAAGATTTTTTTTTTTTTTTTTTTTTTTTTTTTTTTTTTCCTTTGATGCAGAGTGTATTCCAATCAGCTAATCAAAGTCTGGCACACAATATCCGGCACCAACCTTTCATCGATCCGTTACAACACGGGATTCCTCGGATGGGGAGCTCAAGTCACCTCGATAGCGTTGGCAAGTCATTACATGGTGATGGCGGTTGGCGCAACCGACAATTATTTATCATTATATGGGATTTCTAATTAGACGTGGCTTTTCTGGTTATCACTTTCCTTAATGAAATTTGCGAGTCGAGGAGTCGATAGAGTTTTCCTAATAATATTGTTTTTTTTTTCTTTTTCTTTTTGGAGGCGGAAAAGTATGAATTCACTTCTCTTTATTTTTATTTTTCCTTTTATTTTTTCTTCTTTTCGAGTGAGTTGTTTCGCATATATATATGTATTTATGTAAATTTAACACAGACTCCTACTGCTGGTCATCTTATTTATTTTACGAGAATAGTGATACATTAGGAAAGTTGACGCATTCTTTTGTAAATTTTGCTTTTTTGTTCCATTTTCTTTTGTTTCCTTTTTTTTTTTTTTCTTTCCTTTTTCCTTTTCCTCTGCATTCCTGTGGTATTTAGAATTTCATCATATATTATTTCCATAAAACTTTTTAACTTAATCAAAATACCTTTGGCACAGAACTTGTAAAAATGTTTTCTAATTTATTTCATGTCATAGTTTTAGCTTCCTTTCAATCAATCGATCAGAATGAAAGATGTAATAGGAGAGATTTAAATACAAAATCTTGAACAATTAAATTAATGACAGTGCGCTTCAAGTTTAACTATCTGAACCGGGATATACAAGTTTCTCTTCAGGAAGACTTGAACCATTCCGCTGAATTATGATATTGGCCAACCAGTGACCAACCTTTACAGACTCCTCAATGCTTTTTCCATTGACATATTGACTCAGGAATCCGCCAACAAATGAATCGCCTGCACCATTGGTGTCAACAATATCCTTAGCATCAATCGGAAGGGTCGGAATTTCCATAACCTTTCCGGTCTCTTGAAATGCAACTATCGTTGGTTGGGAACCTTGAGTAATTATGACCACCCTCGGGCGTTTAGTATTAACTTTAGGGAGTTGCGCAATTTTCAGCACAATCTCCTTCAGATCGTTGGTCTTTCATCAGTGGAGATGAAGAGATTTTTAGTGGCGGTGGTAGAAAAAAAAAAAAAAAATCTCAAGGTGGCGCTTTATTTGAACCATTTAACAATAATTACCTTCCAATTTTCAGAGACAGCAAAGGCTTCAGCCTCAGACTCATTGCCAAAGATGACATCCCAATACGGCGCAACTTTACTCATGGCCTCTTTAAAGGGCAGAACTTTGCATAGGAATGTTGCCGAAAGGTTTGACATGAAAGGCTGAAATTTAAACAAGTTCCAATATCAATTTTTTCACATTCAAGAGGGCCTCGCAATCACATTCTAATTTCTACCTTATTGCTTTCAGCCGCGTGTCTGGCAATCTTCAAGATTGCATCGCACGAAACTGTCAAGAAAAACCCTCCAATGTAATAATACTTTACGGTCTCAATAATTTTCCATTTTTCGGGCAAATCCAAATGCTTGGATTCCTTATATTGTTCGGCTGCCGATAAATTTGCCACCAATGATCTTGAAAAAAGCGAAGGAAGGTCAGAAAAGAAGTTAAAACAGATCTCAAAGAGGAATCATCTTTTTTTCTTTTCGCGTCGCATATGACACCAGTCAATTTGATTGACTACCTGTTATGACCGGTGATGACGACAGCACAAGTTCCCGTTGGGTAACCGTTGTCAACCAGATAGTCAACGGTTAATCCCTCTTTTTCTGCTGCCTTACGCATTATGTCGGCGTATTTATCGTTGCCAACGCATCCAAAGTAGACGACCGCATTGGGCCGAAGAAGGTGCTAAAATTACATCGCCGACAAAAATGTAAATCCCGATCGATTGTAAAAAGCGATTCAATTGCACGTTATTCGTATCAAAAGAGCGATACCTGAGCACCTCGGGCGGCGTTTTGTGTCGCACCACCGGCCACATAAGTGGGATTATAATTATCCACTAATTCTTCATACCTTTATCAGATAGAAAGAGAATTATTGGCTCGACGAAAAAGAATCATTTCGTAAAGCAAAAAAAGTCGACATCTAATAGTTATACGCACAGCGGCTTGTGTTTCTCTTCTGCGAGGATTGAATCGTCGGCTTTAAGATCATATCTAGAAAAACAAACATGGGTCAAAAAGAGAAGGAAAAAAAAAAAAGCAGCAGCAGCAGGACATTATACTTTTTCAAGAGCGACTCGTCTGCGTTAACTAAAATATCCAATAAAGGATTGCCCATGCAAAAAAGTATGTGCGTGTTTTCACTCATTTTCCTCGTAAAAAAAATCGAAGAGAATATTGCATGCGATCGATCGATCGGCGTACTTGCGTTTCGCAAGTTCTTTGACCGAAATCGTTATCACATTCCTTCACGTGAAGGAAGAAATGGTGGGTGCACAAAAGTATCACCATTGAAATCACGTAACGGTCACGTGAAACCGGTATTCTCTTGCGTAACCATGATGATGAACACTTTTCCTCGTTCATAAAGCTACGCGACGATGACCATCAAATTACACTATTCATACCTCACTTTTGTTATAGTCCTCATCTCACTTGTCACCTATATATTCAGTAAGAATTTCTTTGTTTTACAGTAAAGAGCAACATCGCATATTGAATTCACTCAACTCATAACGTTCGCACGCCTTTCCGACAGAGAGACAAAATGACGAGTTCATGGGGGTCAACCGAATTATTCGGAAAAAGGGCTTGGATAAATGTCGTAAAGTGCTAGGTTTGATAGAAGTACTTTTCGAGTTTTTTCCGGGAAATATGTTTTGAGCGAATATATATCGAATGCCAAAATTCCTTGAATGTAACCAGGGCCAACGTATTGCGAGGACGTTGGAATACATCGCGCGTCAGGTTTTGCCTTCATAAGTTGTAATCCCTCGCGTCCTCACTTCAATCCGGTACTTGGATTGGGCAATGCAAACATGGCGAAGGAAGATGGGTCGATATGGGTGTACGATTTGAACGTACGTGTATGATTGGCCTCATGAAGTAGACGTTCCCAACTCATGAACTTATTCTTAAACCTCGTGATCATTCATTATTTAGTCGAACGCGTCACCGATCCCCCTAACCACGGACTTCAAGAAACCCTTTCATCCCGTGGGACTGTCGGTTGCACCTTTAGACGTGAACCCGAATGAGAACGTCACCCCTCATCTATTCACGCTCGTGGTGGTTAACCATAACGACGACAGCAACCGAACCGTGGAGGTGTTTGACTTTCGAAGCGGCACCAACGTTCTCATTCATCGTAAAACCATCTCGTCGCCGCATATCTCAAGTCCGAATCGTGTTGCAGCGGTCACCTACCAACCGAGTGTCGACGGCATCCCTTCATTCTTTATCTCTAATGATCATTATTTCACTAGTAGCAAGTTGCGCCGTGTCGAGAGGTATGCCGCAGCAGCCTTCGGGAGTGTCTCGTTTTACAACGCTCGTGCCGACAAAGCGAGGGAAATTGGATGGAGGCATCAGCATCCTTCGGGCATAGCGGCTACCGAAGATGCGAGTCAGGTTTTTGTCACCGATACTTGGTCGGGAAAGATTACGGAGTATCACGCACATTTCTTCAACAGGGAGATCCTGGATGACGAGATGAACCCATCAATGGACGGACAAGTCACCATAATTTGGCCACTTTATCTAACAACCAATTCCGTGACCATTGAAGAGGATATGTTGGTATCATCTTT